CGTGGCGGGTGGAGGCGGGGGTGGGGCGGCCCAGGTGTGGCTGGCTGGCAAACTGAACCCCTGCCCCCCACCGCCCCCCGCCCCCGGCTCTGGGTCCCCCGGGCTGCACGCGACATCGAAATGTCATCGCCAACAGAGCCTGCAAGGTTGGAGCAGCGCCTGGTCCGGCAGCCAGGGGTCCCTTCCTGGACTTGTGGTCAGCTCTGAAGCAGTGGCTGCCCAGAGTCACAGCCCGGGGCATTTGTTTGTGGAGGGAAGGGAGGGTGAGGCAGAGGGACCCCAGCGAGGACCCTGGCTCCAGGCGCACAGAGTGGTGGGCTGGGGAAGGGAGCCCCTAGGCCTCAGGGCCCCCCCGCAGTCTTGGCCTCTGGCCCCGTCTGCCCTCCCAGAGGCCCCGCCGGTGGGTGCTGAGCCCCCTTTTTAAAGGCGGGGCGACGAGGGCTCAGAGAGGGTTGTCTCGCAGCTCTGAGGTCTGGGTCTTTTTCCCAACTGGGGAGCACGGTCCCCGCTTCCTCCTGTGTCGGCCTCAGTGTGGGGATCTGGGAGCTCCTGTCCTGCGCCGAGGGTGGGCGCTGCTCGCCCTGGGCTGGGGAGGCCCCTCTGGGTGGGATGACTGGCGAGCTCGTCCCTAGGGCAGTCGTTCTGGGCCTCCGATGCAGGAGGAAGTGGAAGGATTACTTGAAGCAACTTGGAGACCCCAGAAAGGAGATGAAAAATGGAAAGTCATTGCATTTAGGGGGGGAGCCTCCCTAAAACCCTGGCGGCATGATGGGTAGATGGTTTGCAGTGCTAAATTGAATCAAATTAAAAAAACATTTTCCAAATGCAAGTAAGATATCTGCTTAATTAGACTGCAGAGGAAAGCGAAAGGTAATATCTTGCAGCGGGGTAATTACTGTCTTTCTGAAGGTGCTGGGCTCCAGAGAGGGGGTGGGTGGTAGATGGCATGGTGACTGGGCCTTTCAGGGGTCAGAATTCCTGAAATTGGGCCAGTGACCTCTCATGGGCTTGGGCCTGTGGGCCCTGGCAGTTGCAGGGGAGACCTGGCTTCGGGGAAGGGCCTTCCCAGCCCCCGGCATTAAGGTCTGAGGGCTGTTGGTTTGTGAAGGGAAGGCCACCGTGGTCCCAGAGTGGGGAGGCGGGCGGGGCTGCAGGGACTGCCCAGACTTTGTCTCTGTGGAGGCCGCCCAGGGGCGGCAGGCGGTGTGGGTGAAGCTCCCCCTCCGCGGAGTCCTGAGCACTGGGCCAGGGTGCTGGGGGTGGGGAGCCTGTCCTGGCCACAGCTTGCTGTTTGCCAAGCTGGTCCGGCTGCCTGGCGAGGTCATAGGTCCCTCCGGTGTGGGGCGCATGCTTCCAGGTGGGAGCCGCGAGTGGCCCAGCCCAGTGCTGCCCGGCCTGCCAGAGGGGCTCAGGGCCGGGCGGGCTCTCGGCCCCACTGGGGTCTCTGCGTGGTCACGCAAGGCAGGGCTCTCCTCTCGTGTCTCGTGTGTGTGACACGAGACGGAGCTGGGAGAGATACCCTCTGCCCTGCCCAGGTGAGGATCCCCCAAGAGGCGCGCTTGGCTGCCGGTGCTGGGAAGGGGTGGTTGGCCCCACAGTGGGCTTGGGCCACGGGGTGGGCCCAGGTGTGTCTGGGCCGGGCCTCCTGGGGGGCTGGCGAAGCAGGGCTGGGGTGTGGTGAGTACCCCCTGCTCCCAACTGGAGCAGACCTGCCTAGTTTCCTCCTGGGGCTTTGATGGCGGAGCTTGAGGCCTTGGTGGGGCTGGGGCCTCCCTGACAGCTGCCATGTGCGTTCCTGATGACACAGCTGGTGTGGGGGGGGGG